GGGGGCTGCTGGCGCTGCAGAACCGGCTCTGAGCTCCCGGTTTGCACCTCACTCGCATCGAGGCAGGGCCACCGCGCCATGGGTGAGAACCCCCGGCCGCCGGTCGAGCAGGGGATTCTCTGGAGCTCAGCCCTCCCCCTCAACCGCCGCTTTGTAAAAATGCAACCCCCTGAGTGCAAACCCTAACAGGGGGGTAGCAAACTTTGCAAAGGCAGAGAGACTCCATAGACGCAGACCTTCAACGGGCGCCCCAACCACCCCCAACCCTCAACGCACACCCAATGTCTGCGGAGCGCCCCCCCCCGGAACCACCCGCTGCACCGGTAATCCTGCCAGTGCTTTATTTAGGATCCCTCCAACCCCACCTCCTTCTCCCCCCAGACCCCCAGCGACGACCGCTTCCCGGGAGCGCGCGAGCGAGGCGCAGCCCCGACCTGGGAACGGCGCGGGGACAACCGCGACCCCTGCTAGCCGCGACCCAGATTGCGCCACCCCGCCTCACCCCTTTTCCCGCCCTTCTTCGGGGCCACCATTTGGGCCCGAGCCCCAGCTCGGGTGGGGACGTGTGTAGTCCCCGCGGGCTCCAACGTGGACCCTCTCCGGCGTAGGGCGCATTGCTTTCCGCCGGAGCCAAGGCTCCTCCCGGGCGAGGCTAGGGAAGGACTAGGGCGGGTCTGTTCCCCCGGGGGGTCCGGGGGGCTGAGCTGGCTTCCCCGGAGCCGAGCTTGTTTCGCTTCGGGAACAGCATGCGTTCCCCCGCTCCTTACCTCCAGGGCCGGCCGCAATCTGACACACCCGGGGGGCGGGGAGAGAAGGGGGCTGTGGCGCAGGCCAGGGGGAGGGGGCGAGGCGGCAGCGAGCGGCTCCACCCCGCCCTCTTGATTTCCATAAAAATCAGGGGAGGCGCCAAGGCTTTCGCGCCAAAAGCCACTTGCTTTTCTTCTTAGTAGAGGAGGTTGCAAAACTGGCGAACCCGGGAGAGCTCCTCCAGCCCTTTTGGAGCCCCGGGACTGCAGGCGGCGCGCGCTGCGAACCAGTTGCGCGCCAAGCAGTGCACGCGGCAGCGCCCCCCTGGCCTGGCAGTCTCTCAGCGTCGCAAGAATAAAATACTGTGCATCCCTCCGGGGCGCGCTGCAGGGAGAGGACGTGGCTCGACCGCCCGCCCCGGGGGGTGCAGGCTGGGGG